GGGGGGGGGGGGGGGTGAGAAAAATGGAAAGAAGTCGAGTATATTAAGAGATAAGCTGGGGTAGAACATATAGAATTGTTTTTACTGGTAAAACGGACCCACCTTAAGTGTATATGTAACAGTCACTAGTGGATAGAGATCAGTACATACTACATAGGATTTACCTAAATAACATATATAGATAGACTCATACATAGATATGATCATTTAAGTAATTCAATTAAATTGATTGTTGACACGCAGAATATTTTCTCTTTGAATAATAGTATTACAAAAACTTACCGAAATATATATATACTAGGTCATCTACCAATATATAACAAGAAAACTAAATGATTTGTCCTAAGAGATGTCAGAACTTGAGCTTGAAGTGTCCTGAGGGGCTTCAGATTGGACCTCAACTTGGGGAGCAGGAACTTCTGGAGCAGAGCTTTCAACTTCTGGTGCATTTGGTGCTTCGGTTTCTGGTGCTGCTGAAGCTTGGACAACTTCTGGTGCATTTGGTGTTTCGATTACTGAAGCTTGGACTATTTCTGCCAGCTTAAACTTGTTGATATAGTAGCTAAGGGATGGTCCTGAGTACTCCATTGTTTGTACCGGAGGAGGTGAGTTCTTCCCGACTTGAAGGAGTACCGATGAAGCAGCTGCAATAGAGATTAAGGCTATCCCAGCTGCAATAGCTGCGGTGTTCTCTGCTCCATCAGAAGCTGTGCCCGCAGTCCCAGAGCTGATAGCACTTTCTGCTACATAAACTGCAGGCTGTTTCCAAAGTAAGCAACGTTAACGACACAGATAACATAACTGAATCCATACAGGTTTTCAGATAGTATTATTTCCTCTTAAAAAGGACTAAAAGAGGATGATGATTCAGTGTGATATTGCCAAGATATATATACTCTCTCACCCATCATATATTGTACAGAACTATTCAGTAGTTGAGATGGATTTTGGACAGAATCACATTGATCCTAAATGAAGTGAGAGGCCAGGGGGCAGGGAAAAGGGCTGAGTTGATCAGCATTGGCAATCAGGAGAAGCAAAACGGCTTGTCTTGTGGAAAAGCAGAAGAGCAATTGGTATGTTATGATTCATCGCATGACTCTTTTCTAGAATCCTGATATGTCCCAGACTTAATTCATGATATCTCTAGAATAAATACCTTAGGGCCTGAAAATTTGAGGTCTGAGATCTCTACATCCTCAGCTTTACATAGCCTACATACTTTGGTTATGCCATCCTGGCTCTATATATTGTCCCAAGTGAAATAGCAAAGGATATAGGCATGAAAGTTAGATTTAGAACCCTGATATTTCCTAGACTAGATTCATGATATCGCTAGTATAAATACCTTAGACACTAACATCCTTGATCTTTTGGCTATGCCCACCTGGCTCTATTCACTTGAATATACTACTGTTTATCTTTTTCAAACATGCTGTGAATTGCTTTTCTTGAACCGAAGGTATATCGGAAACAACCTCTCTACCTCCACAAAGTAGGGGTAAGGTCTGCGTACACATTGCCCTCCCCAGCCCCCACACTGATTGTTGTATTTTTTTGTTTACTATTCACTAGAATAATGGACGTTAGATTTAGCCCGCGCGGAGAAAAACTGAGAAATAGAATAAAGCTAGAAATATATAAACCCTCCATCTCAAAGCTAGATTTGCTCTAGCGCATATGTGGATTAAGAAAACTCATATGGGTGAGCCTCCCAGCCCAATACCTCAGAGTAAAAAGTGAAACAGCCTAAAACCATTTATTACTCTGTCCAAGCATCACTATAAATTGCAGTTGCAGTGGTAATACTATATTGATACTTGAAGTTGAACTTCAACAAAATGAAATAAAGATTGATTCGTTTATGTAATTCAACAGACAGATTTCACTACGAGATAGTTTCTTATGTGAAGAGCTAAGGCATGCCATAATCTGAAACTTCCTTTTGCTCCATACCATCTGAACAATGTAGTTTCAGGAGAACTTATGTAATTGCAGAACATAGAAGTACTAACCTCAACAGAGTATATATTTGTCTGCCCAGCAGTATCCTTCTCAACATACCCAGTCCAGCCACGTTTGCGAGGTGGAAATGTCCCAACCACTTTGGTGTTGTCCCCAGCTACCCATTCCATGCTCACCTTCCCGACCTGTTTCAAAAAAAAAAATTGTATCAATACTTTTTCCAGTGTGAACTACCATCTTGCTGGACAGTATGACCTACAATGTCGATTCAATAATGATAATTAAAAAAAGCTCTAAAATATGGGCAATAAACTCAAATTACTACAAAAGTTGTATAGGTATTGTTTACAAAGTTTTATATTATTGATGAAAAATATTACATGCTCTTGGTACATTTGAAAAGGCTTAACACTAGATACGAAAAAAAGTATCCCATGTGTTTCCATATGCCTAAACAAATACAACTCTCCTTTGCAGATTTTTCCAGAACTGGCTCGCCGATCTTATACAATCTAAATGAAATCAAACTGCTTACTGCTAACATCTCGACTAGTTGTAGCAGTAGACATAAACATATCATTATCACTCAAAAGAGCGCATAGTCTTTAACTAATTTTCAATAAAATAGTCTATAATTACAACACAATAGTATTTTCTTCCCCCAAATATTCATAAGTAGCCATAATTATTAGCCATTTTGAGAATTCTCTACGTATTTAAACAATTCCTAAAAACTTCAAGAAAAAAAATTCTCTCGAGGGAGTACAAGACTGTGCATATCCACTTCCTTTTTTCTATATCTGTCAACATATATTAATCCACATACACAAATTCAACAAGGAAAAGAAGTATATAATTAAGCTCAAGGAAGCAAAGAGGAAGATTGACCTCCTTATCAGGGGCACATTCTTCATCATTGCAATCAGAATCATCAGTTGAAGCTGCCCTAATTCTGAATCGAATAAGACTCTGCTTTTGCCTCAATTTTGAGTCCTTTTGGTATGTGCAAAAGCTCAATCTTCCGCTAGAAGTTGAGGCTATGGTGCAGCTGTTTGCTGATAAAGCAGCACAAGCCATTATTTCTTTTTTGCTGGTTATTTTTGGGTTCTTTAGAGTGCGAATTTTTGTAGCCCAACAAAAGATTTCAAATGTATTGAGGTGAAGAAGCAGAACCACTTGTAGAATTTTTTGCTTCTTCGATTGGCTGTGTTTGAGCCTCGAAAATCCTTTCCTTTTAAGGATTGTTTGGTTTTGTGGTTTGATTTGAATGCACGTTGAGTGGGTTATGTGTCTCGGATTTCATTCTCTTTCGAAAAGTATTAAAATGACGACTATATCCCTTATTGTCATTTTCTGACATCCATAAAATGCTACTACTATATTAGAGATAATTAAAAATTGTGTAAATTATGCATTGAAAAAAAAATCAAAATAATTTTGTTTGTATTTGGCACGTTATCAACAACAATAACCCACTAGAATTTCACTAGTGGAGTTTGTGACATTATGTTTGTGACAAATAAATAGTGGAATAACATTGCTTGTGAAAAAATCTGAGCAAGTGCGAGCAGCCAAATTTTTCCACATTACCTCCTTCATTCAATTGCATATATCTAAGATCGCTCCACGGAAGGTTTTAGTGTGAAAGTGTCACGACTATTGTCTATTGGTGAGAGAAAAAAACACATACATAACGCCTTCTTTATCTAGCTTTCGAATGTGTAGACTTTATTCACGAAATATTAATATTAAAGAATCAATATCCCAATTCGAGATTTGGTTGAGTGACTAATGCTAAGGAATGCTTAAATTAGAGGTGTCAATGGATATTTAAAAACTTACTAAACCGATCGTATCGCACCGAATTGATTTTTAGGTTTCTTTTAATAAAACTATAGATTTTTATATAAATCTATAACCGTACCGATAATTAGGGTAAGTTTTTTATTTTATGAAAATAAATCGAAAAAATACCGAACCATGCTGAATAAATTTATATGGGAAAAACATATCTATATATTATGTTTAAAAATAATAAAGCATTAGATTTTTCCTTGAGCCTTGGAATTATGAAAACAATTACAAGTCAACAAGTAATTAAACTCAAAATCCTAATTCCCAAACCTATTATATTACTCTTTTGAAACTAAATTATTTCCATCATATTCACTAGCAAGACACAAGACATTCAAGCGATTATGAGTAGCAAACTACAATGTATTGAATATGTTTCCTTTCAAATGATTTAAATTTATATTTTCGAATATTTAATCTTCTATCGATTTTATTCTTGAGTCCAGCTTGCTTAATATCTTTTCACTCGTGTGATTTATATTTTATTTGTCTTTGCTTAGTTTCTTTTACACTGCTGTAGAATAGTTGATGGATCTATACTCTGGTCATCTTTCATGTTTTCATAATTCATCACCCTTTAAATTGTAAAAATATCTAAAAGTTTTGCTAAGTCCTATAATACGTATGTTTTTGCTTCTAATAGTGACTTTTAAATGAAATTTAAAAAATTACCAAAAAATAACTGGACCGTACCGATACCGAAGAGAAACCGACATGATTGGTACGATTTCTAAAAGTCTATTTTTTGTTATAAATAATAGAATAACCAAAAAATTAGTATGATGTATATTTTATAAAATAATCAGTCGAACCATTGACACTCCTAGCTCAAATATAAATAAAGAAGTAAACGAAACCATTAAATGTTAGAAGATCAATAGAAGGTAGTAAAATGAACTAAATGTGATTGATAAAGGAAAGAAATAACAAGCAATACATAATAATTAAGTGCTTTTACACAAAAGTATTTTTTTCAAAAGTACTTTTGGTGAGAAGCAGTTTGTGTTTGGCTAATTTATTTGAAAAATACTTCTAAGAAGCAATTAGTATTTGGCCAAGATTTTAAAAAATACTTTTTATAGCATGTTTGGCCAAGCTTAGTTTTTGGCCGAAAGTACTTTTTTTGGCCAAAAGTGCTTTTGGCCAAAAATTGAGGTGTTTGGCCAAGCTTTTAGAAGGAAAAAAGTGCTTTTGAGGAGAAGCAGAAGCAGATTGTGAGAAACAGAAAAATGTAGTTTCTCTCCAAAATCACTTTTCTCAGAAGCACTTTTGAGAAAAATACACTTAGAAGCAGTTTTCAAAAGTTTGGCCAAACACTAATTACTGCTCAAAAGTGTTTTTCAAATTAATTAGCCAAACACAAACCGATTCTCACCAAAAGTACTTTTTTGAAAAGCACTTTTGAAAAAAGTATTTTTCAAAATAAGTAGATTTTAGAAGCTTTGCCAAACATACTATAAGTGTATTTTTTTCAAAAGTGCTTTTCAAAAAAATACTTTTGGAGAGAAGCTACTTTTTTCTGCTTCTCCAAAACTGCTTCTGCTTCTACTCAAAAATACTTTTTTTTCCTCAAAAAACTTGACCAAACACTTCAACTTTGGGAAAAAAAAATACTTTTTTTAATTAAAAAAATATTTTTGACTTGGAGAAACTTGACCAAACAGACTATAAATATATTAATTGAACCGAAGTGGGCTCATGACAAATTATACCACCATAATAAGTCGATGAAGTGAAGTAAAGATTAATATATGTGGGTTTAACAATATACCAAGTCTAACTGATATATGCCTAATAAATCCATCTCAACCGCGTTGCGTGCAGTTCAATTGCATGAGTGAGTTTTTGAGTTTTAGCATATATCTTAGCTCCAGTTTGGTCATAAATTTTGGCCTTTTTTTCTCAAATTCTTTTTGAAAATATTATTTGTTCATGGAATATGATCATTTTTTTGAAAAAGATTTGAATTTTTTTTGAAAATCCCAAAAACTGGATTAGGGCAGTTTTGAGTAAACAATTTTTTTCCACTCACAAAATTTCAACCTTTTTTCAAATAAAATATATGTTCAAACACAACTTCAATTTTCAAAAAATATATTTTAAAACTCTTTTTCAAGTTTTAACTAAGTTTATGTCCAAGCTTAGATTCGAGTCCTCAAAAAGCATTTTTGTACGGTTTATTAGGTAGTCTAGAGAAGGCAAATAGACTTTATGATGTTGTAATACCCCGAAAAAAATTTCGAAGTGTTTTAAGACCATTAAGAAGATTGGCATGTGCTAATTATATTAATCCGGGTATGAACATGACTAATAATTTAAATGATATCAGTTGAACATGATAATATATGTATGAGGTGCATTAAGAATGGTTTATGGTCTAATAAGATACATAAGACTAAGTCAAGTTGAAAATTATATGATGGGATAAAGTTTCAAGTGAGTTCGCACAAGACCTAATTTCAAACGAGCATACCTCTCAAGATATGAAAAGTTATATGGTCTATAACCAATTAAATGAAAGGTATATGTGTCTAGTTTCTAATGCTTCAAACCGTTTATCATTTGGAGATTCCTACAAGAAGTTATGGCCTTTTTACTAAAGGGTGACAGAATAGCTACGCGAGTCTACGTAGCCTATGCACCATAACAACATAGCCTACGCACCATAACAGCGTAGCCTACGCACCATTGCGTAGGCAAATCCAGCAACTTCTAAAATGAAGGGGAATGGAAGTCCATCCTGCGTAGCCTTTGTGCGTAGCCTACGCAGCTCCAAGGGTCATTTTAAAGGGGCTGAAACAAGGGGTTTAGACAGAGAAAGCATTAGTTCTTCAACTTGGAATTGATTTCTAAAGAGAAGGAGGAGCTCTTCCACCATGAATACACTTCAAGGTAAGTTATTTTGGTACAAAGATAATTATATAACATCATTTAGTGATAACACTAATATTATTATGGATCAAATCCATAGAAAATGGATTGAATCTTCAAGAACACCAAAAATAGAAAAATTTAGATTCTTCCATCAAGAGGTAATCCCTTCACTTGAGCTTCATATATATGTCATATTGGAGTATGGGTAGTATGTTTATGAGTTTTGTTTGAAGTTATAATGGGATATTGTATGAACCCTAAGGGTGGGTCTTGAGAATACCATTTTTGGGTAAAGAAAAAGATGAATAGTGATGAATTGATATAAATACATATGTCTTGAGTTTCTAATGATTCCAATAGACTTGATAACTTAATTGATGCACGAATTTAATTTGGAATCACCATTTGGATAAGATACAACACTAATTCTTGAAATGGATGTTCTTGAACCTAGACTTTTGTTAGAGAAGGCAATAAATAGTGACTTGATGACGTTGGATAATTAATATAGTATTATTAATGACTCCAAATGAGTATTAAATAATAAGAATTGAATTGAATTGAATTGAATAGGCTAATGGATGAGCCTATTGGATAATTTGGGATGGTTGAAGGCTTGTTGTCGAGCTGTGAAGCCTAAATGGGTATTTATGAATCTTTTCGTATTTGTTTTAATGTAGTAGGGATAACTAATGGTAGATATTGAATTGTGGGTGATATTTAAATATTTTAATCAATTGGAGTATTGTAGTATTTTTGGAGCTTGAAGATTGAGGTAAGTTGATTAATACTTACTCTTCTTGAGTGATTTTCTCTAAAATCATATTTGAGTTATTACGTGAGTTGGTTTGTAAATGTGCATCCGTACGTGTGGGGACAAGCGAAAAATATGTCACCATGTATTTCTAAATTGTTGCTTATGAGGTGTCATGAGATTTTATAAAAGTCTTGTTTTCAAAATTTATTAGCAAAATGACACTTAAGGAAATTCTTATAAGTTTTATTAAAACTTATTTGTTGATAAGAGTATAAAATACTTGATTGCTAAATATATGCTTTCATGAAAAAGATAATTTTTTGAAACTTCACCAAAGAAAGCACTTGTTTCATCTTAAGGTTTATGTTAATTGCTAAAGGCTTTAACATGAAAAAGGTTATTCATTTGATTTTATTTAAATGGTTTGAATTGACTATGAAAATCATGATTTGATAAAAATAGATCATTTGAGGCAATTATGCTATGAATCTATTTTTAAAATATCAAATATTTTGGGAGTTACTAGTGGAGACCACCGAGATTGGTTCGAATGTCGAGTTCGTTACCATGGAACTACATGTGCCGGTGTATGGATACATTCCAAGGCTAAGCCGAGGTTTGTGGGATAAAGTCCCCAATTGAGAGGGCAAATGATCATTACATAAAGTAATGAGGTTAAGTCGACTCGTACGATACTACGGGAAGCCGCCCAGACAAGTAGGGTCAAATACTTATTACTAGGTCGATCACCTAGTAGTTGTTTATTATGTCGGTGT